CACTGGCTGATAACCAAACCAAGGTCTCTGGCATAGAAGGTGAGAATTCTAACACCGAACCACCGTTGCCCTTGGAATATATAAATACTGACAAAATATATCTAAAATATATTAAGCAAAAAACAAAAGTCACGGTACTGAACAGTATGCACAGTATGATTCTATTTGTGTTAAATACTTTAAAAATAGAAAAATATAGTCACATATATGCTTGTTTTCTTAGGTATGCAATTTATGTAAACTATAAACAATTGTAAACCCTTTACACTACTGTTCTTTTTTTTTTTACTGTGATAACATCTATTTTTTAAATTAGTAAAAATACAATTTTTAAACAGCCAGCAAAGTACAAAAAACAATTATTGTGTAAATTGTGTCTCATTATTAGGTCCAGTAAGAAAAGAAAAGGCTAAGCTTAACTCAATAGCACTCTTAACATTTTTTTTTAAATGTCAGCACAAAAGTTCATTCAGTGGATTCACTATTTTTGTTGACTCTAGTGTTAGACATTCGACTTGTTTCCAAAGTTTCAGAATTCTATATAACATTTTGATTCAGATTTTTATCAATATAGTTCATTTACTGGATGAATTAGTTTGGTTGACAGTATTGTTAGACATTTAACTTGTTTCCAGAGTTTTAGGATTATAAATAACATTTTGATTCATATTTTTTATCCATGAAGCTTTTTCTATATATAGGATTATTTCTTTAGGCTATAATACCCATAGTGAAATTACTGGGTCAAGGAGTATAAACATTTTTGAGGTTACTGATACATATTTGCCACTCTGGTTTTCAAAAGGGAATACCAGAGTCCCGAGTACTTAGAAGAAAACACAGGGCCAATGCTTCAGGACCTAGTTTTTTAACGATGGATTCTTATATGTGACACCAAAACCATGAGCAACAAAAACAAAGTAGATAAATGAGACTTCATCAAAATTAAAAACTTTTGTTCATCAAAGGGCTGTATCAAAAAAGTGATGACACAACCTACTGATTCAGAAAAAAATCTGAGGCAACTATGTATCTGATAAGGATTTAATATCCCAAATACCATATGTTTACTGCTGCACCCTTCCCCCACAAGGCACCCTCAGAAGAGCCACCATGCTGATCCTCTTCCACATGTTTCTGTAAAAAAAAGAAATAGCATAGCACCCTTATGAAAATACCTTGTAAGGGGGAGGGTGCAGCCAGCAAACAAATGCAGAAGATGCACATTATTTGTGTGAAAATATAGTATATATATTAAAAAAAACTTACAATTCAATAAAAGACAGACAGCCAATTAAAAAATGGGCAAAGACTTGAATAGACATTTCACCAAAGAAATACAAATGGCCAACAAGCACATGAAAAGATGCTCAATGCCATTAGTCATAAGGGAAATGCAAATCAAATCTACAGTGAGATATCATTCATCCCCACTAAGATGGTTATTATTTTTAAAAAATGGAAAAAAAACAAGTGTTGGTAAGGATGTGGAGAAATTGGAACCCTCATTCATTGCTAGAGGGATTGTAAAATGGTACAGCTACTGTGGAAAAGTTTGGCAGTTCCTCAAAAAGGTAAACATAGAATTATATGATCCAGCAATTCCATTCCTATTGTATACTCAGAAGAATTAAAAGCAGGAACACCAACAGATTAACATGTATACCAATGTTCATTGCAGCACTATTCACAACAGCTAAAAGGTGGAAACAACTGAAATGTCCATCAACAGATGAATGGAAAAACAAAATGTAGTATATATGTCTAATGGAGTATTACACTGCCATAAAGATAAATGAAGTCCTGATACATGCTACAACATGGATGAACCTTGAAAATATTACACTGAGCAAAATAAGTCAGTCACAAAAGAACAAATATTATATGATCTCACTTACATGAAATAAGCAAATATACAGAAACCAAAGATTATCAGTGGTTTACCAGGGTTGGGAGGCAGGGGTAAAGAGGGAGTCACTGTTTAGGGGACACTGAGCTTCTGTTAAGGATGATGAAAAAATTTGGAAATGGAAATAGTGGTGATGGTTGCACAGCATGATGAATGTAATTAATGACACTGAACTGTACCTGTAAAAAACACTGAAAGACCAATGTTTTCTTTTATATATATATATATATATATATATACATTTAACACAATAAAGAAGGGAGTTTACATTATCACCAGTAATATATGAGTGCATCTGTTTCAGTGCACCCTCCTCAGCACTGAGTATTGGAATTTTGTTGTGTGTTAGCTAATTTCATAGATGAAAATCACATATCATTTTATTACATTTATTATCAGTGCATTTTTCCAATGTGGGTTAACTGGTTGTATTTCTTATTTTGTATACTATCTCTTCAGTGCTGTCTTGAAGGCTCACTGTCCTCTTACATTAAAGGGGGAAAAAAAAACCCAGATAACTGAGCTGACAAATAGAAAATGTACCATTCTCATAATAAAAATTATGACTTTCAGTCTTGGAGAAACCTATTAAATACCAAAATTCCAAATACTTCTCTCGCCAATCCACTCTTCATTCTCCATTGTCACTTCCAAACCTCTTCTTGTTATCCCAATCTATCAGATTCCTCTTGTCCACTCCTTGATAACATCTACTATTCTTTTACTATATTCCTACTCCCAGGATTAAACAATTATGGAGAACATTCTATAACCAAACCGACAGGCTCCACTACGGGCTGATCAAATCTAAAATTCATCTGGCCCTCTATCTTTCACAGCCAGTCTTTCATTCATTATCCCTTTTCTTAGCCTATTTTCAACAAGGGAATCCTTTCAACTCTTCTCAAGGTTTTAATGTCCCAACTTTGCCCTCACTCCTAGCGGAAGACCTCCTACTACCTCACACTGCAGATGAGTCACTGTCCTTTGTGAACTTCCCTAACCTCCCCACATATTAAAATGTCTCTATTTTTATACATTTTCTTCTCATTCCCTCCTGTCTCCAAAGACTGTTTGTCTCCTTTCCTTTCCAAGACTGAACCTTCCCTGGATCACTTGTTTGTCTTTTTTCCTGCGGACAACATGTTTCCTCCATAAACTTTGCTTCATTTCCTAGTCACCCAGGTTATAGTCCCCAGAGAGAACTTTAATCCCTCTCAATTTTGTACATACACAGGGATCTCGTTAGCTGCTACGTCTATCACATGTGCTTTTTCTGTGTCACCTAAATCTATCTTTTCCTTTTCAAGCTGCTATCCCACTTTAGGCCCTCTTGATCTCTTGTCTGAACTCTTAAGGAAGCCTCTAATGGGTATTGCTATCTCTAATATCTCATTTCTCCAGTGTTTCACAATCCATACAACTGCCAAATTTATTTTCTTAAGACAGATCAAATCACATCCTAAAACACAGAGATAATGACATCACTGTCCCTTCCATGGCTTTTGGATGCCTAGAGAATAAAGCTGAAACTACTTAGCACATCATTCATAATCCAACCCCAGTCTACCTAACCAATCTTATCCCTGATGCACCGCCCCTTTAATATAACCTATTCTGCAGCCATGGTACACTACTTTCTGCTCTCTGAACATACCATCATGAGCAACTACACCCCAGTGCAGTGGTTCCTGTTGTTGCCTCTGCAAAAGATGCCTTGGTTTCACATCCATATTTTGGAATTCCTAAGAGCTCAAATGACAGTCCCTCTGTGAAACCTCAATCTCCTTAGTAGGAATTTATGATTCTGTCCTTTGGACCCCCACAGCACTTTATTCACACCATTCTTATAGAATTTACCATATGAAGTCTTGAATTATAATTATCTGTAGACATATTTGTTGTATAATTACATGTAGACATGTCCCTTGCTAGGTTATAAGCACTTTGAAGGTAGGGATAATGCTTTATTCTCTGTATTCGCCCTACCATCAATGTCAATGCTTGACACTCAGTACTTTTTGAATGAGTAAATGAATGAACGACATCTAATTTTAAATGAAAGAGAAAGAGTCATCAGCCATAAAAAAACAGACTATCCTTTCTTTCATACTTTCTCTAATCTGCACTGAACTGGCTAACTTGAGTCTTGCTAACTTATTTAAACAAAAATGCCTTACCTAACTTTTCTTAAGACTTAAATTATACAAAGCCTAAAATAAGACATTTTATCCATGGGAAAATAAGTTTGGCAAGGAAACAGAATTTCATAGTGATGCAGACAGAATGCTAGTAATGGTCTCTAGTGTAAGAATGGACAACAACCTAGACCCTAAATTGGAGAAGGAGCTGGAGTACAAAGAATCTATTTAACATAAAATCAGTTGGTAAGAAAGAAACATAAAATGTTAGAGCAGGAGACATACATTTTGATTAAGTCAACCTGTATGGAGAAGACCTACTGTAACAGGTAAAGGTATATTTAAAGTCCATAGCTTTGAGATATTTTATTAGAGAAGCAATTTCATTTTTACTCTTTCGTTATATGTTCTCCGCTGGGAACACTGCAGCTTGAAAAATTAATTTGTTGGTGGTAGGAGAAAAACGCCCTGAATTTAGCTAGCAATTTAGTGACCAGTTTTGCAACTCAGATGCTCTTAGTTAACTTAAATGGATGACTCTAGAATTTGCTCTCACACAAAGACAATAAATGCTGCCAAGGAGATTACCATAAACTGAGATGCTTGCTGTCTGTGTAGAACCATTCATGACAGCTGGAATAATGGATTCTTTGAAATTGTTAACCACTTATTTGTGAATGGGCCAATGAGAAATTTGCTATCTCGGACAGCTTGATGGAGAAGTCATTCCACCCTACCTCCTACTCACATACTTCATGCATTTGATTATACACATCTGTCTGCCCAATTAGGGATTTAGTGCATGCAGAGCAGGGGCTTTGACTTTTAGCCATGTTCCACTGCATCTGGCTTAATATGACTAATAAATAAAGGTGGAAATATTACTGACTTAAAAATTTAGCAGCAATAAAATAATAACCTATAGACCAGAAAACAAAAATGAAACATACCTTTGAACCAGGTGGTGCTGTCAATCCTAAGAAGGCATACACTGCATTATTTTCTCTGGCTTCAAAAAAGGCATCATAGTCCTTGGTGAAAAGAAGGCAAGAATTAGCAGTATACAACCAACAAAAGAAAACAGATTTATTCAAAATGACCTGACTGGTCAACAAGATCAGCTACCTTCTCGGGTCAGACAGGCTATCTTCCATTAATGCTTGAATTCTAGAAAGAGCAAAAGAAGAGGCAAAGCTTCTGGGATCCCATTTAATAGGAGTTAGAAAAGATGCTGTTCTGTGGGGCAGAAAATGCAGAATGGCTAATTCCATATCACAAACAATTTAAATCTGCCACAGGGCAAGCGGCTTACCCCACCAGTCCAAAGCAGCCAGCTATTTTCCAGTAAGAAACCGCTTATTTCTGGTATGAGGTTGCTGCTCCAGTTCTCCATTATTTCTCTTCCATTATTCATTAAGGCAGAGATTTCCCCAGAGCCTATGTCAGACCAGATATTACCTAGATCTTCCCAAGGCCAGAATAGTGAATGTGAATTTGTGCTGTGTTTGGAGGAAGGGAATGAGATGTTTATAAAATATGATCAGAACAACCAAACCACTAAGAGGTTTCAACCTAAGGATCCAAGATAAGCCTCACAAAACTGAATTTGGTTGGGCTCCCCATTGTCATCCTCTAAGCTACAAAACAGTCTCAAAAATAAATAAGACTTGCCCAAATTTGACTATGACATATAATCAACATCAAACATACTTACAAAGCACAGCCATTGTCTATACCTATCCTAAATTTGCTTTATTTTAAACACAGATAATCTTAGCATTTTGGCTGATTTATTAGAGATGGAAAGCACTCATAATTTGATGGGTTCTCTAGAGATGGTCTCACCAACAGATCAATTACAGAGTTCTTTTCTAGCACCTGTAATTCCCAGCATTTGGAAGATTAGGAGGTATAAAGTATTAATTACCCTTTCATGAAAATGTGTTTTAGGTCTTCAAGCGCATAGCATAAGCTCTTTCAAAGCAAAGACTATCCATATAAGATGTGTATCTTGTATAGCAGAGCCTCACCTACGTAGGTAGGGTTTTTGTTTCAGTCACATTCTGGAAATAAGAACCTAAGCCATAGTTCAGTGGGGGTGATTCAGCCCTCCCTCCTCTCCTGGGGACTTTCTGTCAATTTCTGGAAATATTTTTGGTTGCCACAAGTAGGGGGTGCTACTGCCATCTAGTGGCAGAAGCCAGTGATGCAACTAACCATCTTACAATGCACAACAAAGAAATGTCAGGACAAAGATGTCAGTAATGCCAAGGTTAAGAAGCCCTGAGTTCCATAAAGGAAATTTAATATGGAGAAGTAGTCACAAAGGTTTGAGTAGAGCTGAAAGGCAAACAGGAGATTGTGAGGCAACCCAGAGATTAGCAATAGCAGGAAGTTGTTACCCCAGCTAGGGCTGAAGGGAAAAGTGGAGAAGGTGGTGTAACAGATCCCAGGAGGTGGGCCACCTGGTAGAACTGGTACGACAAAGGATATGCAGCCACTGTCATGGCCAACTCCAGAAACAGGGAGATGGGGAATAACTTGGCTTTTCCCCTCCTCCTGTCCTCCAGTCTTCCAATTAGTGCCTCCCATCAGCCAAACCTAACAGGGATCCAGTTGGTAATGGAGACTGGGAAATGTAATTTGCAGAACCCAGCCCCTTGCAATACAGACTGGAGCAAGGAAAGAATGAAGAATGGATCTTTGAGTAAAAGGGAAAATGAACAACACAGTAGTTTCGAAAGTGAAAATAAGAGTTGAGCAGATCTAGGTTCGAATCCCAGCCCCACCACTTATTAGTTGTCAGTTAATCTCTTTTGGGTCTCAATTTCTTTATTGATAACATGGAAATGACAGTATCTACCTCATGGAATTATTGTGATGAATAAGTAATATAATACACATAAAGTGCGTTATCACAATGGCTGGCATATAAATTTTCTATGAATGGTTGCTATATACTTTTCTCCCTAAGAGTCTGTACAGGGAAAAATCTTAACTCTTATTGTTATTAAAGCACCTAGCTCAGTGCCTGGCACAAAGAAAGCACACAATAGAAGTTAGTTTCCTTTTCCATTAATATTTATTTGATTTGTTGAGTCTCACCTCTGTGCCCCTTCATTTCCATGTTCCCATTTCTTAGTGACAGTTAACTTATTTTTGAAACATACTCTAGTTCCTTGCAGTGTGACTTCCAAGCGAGAAGTAAAGCAGGTAAATGTACTCATAAATGTACCCTTATAACCCAAAATGTGTTTGTTTTCAAAGGTCAAACAACTGAAATTTGAAAAAGCAGAGATTAAAACAACATATGCTGGCTTAGATTATACTAGATGACCTCTGAGGCCTCTTCCATCCCCCTAAGATTCAACAATTTGCAGAAATTTCAAATATACTGGCACTGAGGTTTCATTATCTAAAAGGATAGGTAAATGCCCTTTTCTTATCTGCAGAGTACATCTTTGCAAATTGGTCCTGTTTGCAGGAAAAGATTAAATCTCCAGGCCCCTCCTCATAACTGACAAATTCATTAGCAGAGAAGATATTTTGGGCCAATGAACTTTCTTATTTCTGTCATACACTTCTCCTAGATGCACTCAACAGGCACATAAAAGGATCTCCACCAGAAAGTGTCCTTTTTACTCCCATATAAACATACAGCTAAAAGATCTGGATTGGTGGCTCTAAAACCATTGTTCCTCAGTCATGCTAAACTGGAGGACTTTGCAGTGCAAACAATTCTTTACTCAGAATTCTATATGTTTTCTTTACTATATCATCACAGGGATGTGGCTTCATAGCTGCTGTGTAATTGCTTCAGATGTGTATTATTCCTCCCACATCTCATTCCTGACCAGCTCCTCAAGAGACTGTATTATTTACTTGTACTCCCCATAGTGCCTAGAATGGCCATAAGCTACAGAAGTTACTTAAATATATAGTGAATGAAGAATGAAGGAAACTATCCCATGGTTTAAATGATGATTAATCAAGATTATATATTTGAATATTGAATAATTTTTAAAAAAAAAGGTTGCCATGGAGTCGATGCCGACTCATAGTGACGCCAGGTGTGTCAGAGTAGAACTGTGTTCCATAAGGTTTTCAATGGCTATGACCTTTCAGAAGTAGACTGCCAGGCCTTTCTTCCGAGGCGCCTGTAGGTAGGTTTGAACTTACAACCTTTTGGTTAGCAGCTGAGCCCTTAACCATTTGCACCACTCAGAGACTCTTAAATACTGAATAAACCTAACCAAACCTGTTGCCATCCAGTCAATTCCAACTCGTGGCGACTCCACGTGTTACAGAGTAGAAATGCTCCATAGGGTTTTCTTGGCTGTAATCTTTCCAAAGAGCCCTGGTGGCACAGTGGTTAAAGGGCTCATCTGCTAACCGAATGCTCGGTGGTTCAAACCCACCAGCCACTTTGCAGAAGAAAGATATGGCAGTCTGCTTCTGTAAAAATTTACGGCCTTGGAAACCCTTTGGGGCAACCCTGTCCCATAGGGTTGCTATGAGTTGGAATCGACTCAACAGCACTGGGTTTTGGTAATCTTCACAAAAGCAGTTCGCCAGGCTTTTCTTCCACAGAGTGACTGGGTGGGTTTGAACCTCCAACCTTTAGGTTAGCAGCTGATCTCAAACCACTTGCAGTGAGACAGAACCCCCACAATGCTGTATACTTTACCTGGCTTCCTCCCCTATAGTGTTGTATTGCAAAATCATTTCCTTTGCTGGATTCCCCACACCTCAGCTTTGCATTTGAATCCTACTTTTGCTTGGAGGTTATATGTAAACCCCATTGTGCCTGTGTAGTATGATTAAGAATGTTGCTGATGTAACTTGTATGAACTCCCTACTTGTAAACCCTTTTAAAAGTAACCTGCCTGCTCGCCTTTGACAAGCAGTCTTGGCAGTAGTAAGCACCGACTGACCCCATTTCTTGTACAACGAAATAAAGGTGCCTTTTTGTTTTCCCACCTCAGTCTCTCATTAATTGGCCAGTAGGAGTCATGCTGACTAAGAACCTGGGGTTTCCACCCAGTAACAGCACCACCCAGGCTCCCTGAATAGCCAACTCAAGATTTTAGGAAAATCCGTTAATATTACCAAAAGAAAATTATTACTAGCTTCAAGCAGAAAATAAGATATTCCCCTTTTTTATTAACCAGTTTTAATCTAAATAACTAAAGCAGCTGACTTATTTTGAGTGGCTTCTTCATGGACATACCAGAAACAAAACAATCGTTCTTGTGGGATTTAAGAAATGTAAGGACAACTACATGTTCAACGTCTATCTATACATTTAAAAGTAAATATTTTTGTGACTGACTCATCCTTCTGCTTTCTAGTAGAAAGTAAAATACCTCAGCTGCCTAGAATAGATGCTGAGGATAAACAAGAGAAATGACTGTAAGGAGATTTTGTAGAGGAGCTGTGAAGGGACAGTCTTGGGGCCATCCATTTCAACAAACAAGAATTTATATTGTTAAATTGTTTCCTTACCCCACGGTACTGGCTTTCATTAAAAATCTGAGGTGGCAAGGGGTAACCTGTAGCTGGTCGACTGTCTTCAGGTACATTTTCTCTCATCCACTTCCGATTCTCTTCATTGGCTGCAATGTCTTTCTCTTCAAATCCTATTTTGTTGGCTTCCAAGAAACCAAGCACATCTTGCTGTTTCTTCTTAATCTAGGACCCAAATGACAAGAGACCATATTGCTGACCAAATAGCTTTGGTTGTTTATATTTTTCAAATTCAACAAACGTCAGTATTTGTGAATTAGCAGAAATGAATTCAGACATAGACAAAAATCTGTGGTTTCACAGAAGATATATGATTTCCCCTTTTTACTGTCTTGTTAATGATGTTTTATAAGTGGGTTGGAGAGTTTTCAGTCCACAAATTCTTTTAACTTGATTTTTTCTTTTTTCCATTGCAAATCCCCACATTTAATCATGCAGAGTAAGACTAGCTGATGCATATCAACAGCCTAAAGAAGTGCAGTTAACTCAAAAGTGTCTGTACTAAGCAGCTATGGTTTCTGATTAACTACAAGCTTCTTTTAGTCTCAGCCTTTGTTGAAAGTCTTTCTAAACAAACAGAGATTTCTTTCCTGTCTTAACAACCATTGTATAAACCAAACCATAGTGAACAGAAATCAGTCTTTCCTTGAGAATCTTACAAGGCCTCAGAGTCGTTCTAAGCCTCAGTTCTCATTGCTCAGAAGAGAAGCTGAAGAAGATATAGGAGCTAAGCCTTCCTGAATACTAAGTTTGGAATATACCTGTACCACTCATTAGTCCTTAACATGTACTGTTAAGGTCTTTTTCATGCAGGTCTGTGCTTCTTCTTCAACTAGATTAACAGGTAAGGATGGTACACTTATTTTGTCTCCTTATCATACGTAGGAGAGAGCTATGATAGTAGTAAATTGAATACTTCTTATTTATGTTTCCCCTCTGATATGTATTTCTTTTAGAACCCAAATTCACACATCTGAGCTAATTTACCCAGACTTAAAACCATTTCTTAACATTTCTGAGCACAATCAAAAAGCACATTTCTTCATGGAGTCACCCTAAAAAGACACACGGGGAGAGCAACAACAACATAAATAAATAAATAAAAAGAAGCAGTACCGTCAATGGGAATGAAAATGCAAAATGAAAAGCTCACATACAGTTAAATACCATCTGGATTTACACATACAAAAACACATACCTACACGCATGCAGGCATGCACAGAGGTTTTTTTTTTAATTTTGTTGTGGTAAATATATATATATATAACAAAAAGTTCGCTATTTTAACCAAGCTTTAGTGTACAATTCAGTGACATTAATTACATTTACCATGTTGTGCTACCAAAACCACTATCCATTTCCAAAAGTCTTCCATCCGCCCAAACAGAAACTCAGTACCCCTTCAGCAATAACTACCACTCCCTCCTCCCCTCAGGCCCTGGTAACCACTAATATTTGTCTCTATGCATTTGTCTAATCTAGATATTTCATATAAATGGAATCATACAATATCTGTCCTTTTGTGTCTGACATTTTGCTCAGTGTAATGTTTTCAAGACATCCACCAAGTGGTGTGCATCAGGACTTCATTTCTCTCTATGACTGAATAAAATTCCATTGTACGTATATACCATATTTTGTTTGTCCATTCATCTATTGATGGACATTTGGGTTGTTTTCACCTTTTAGCTATTGTGAGTAATGTTGCAGTGAACATTGGTGTACAGGTATCTGAGTCCCACAGAAGTTGTATTTTTTATCTAGATTGCCTTGTGATTGTGGGTAAATAATTTTCTCTCATCACTTAACCCCAGGGAAAAAATTCTAAATTATCCCAATGGAAAATACAATTTCTACAGATTATTTAGATCAGAGTACAAAATCTCTTTCTTCAAAGATCACTTACAGTCCAGTAAAATTCGCTATAAGGTAAGTTTTCTAAGGGAAATCTTATTTCCTTATTAACTTATAAAATCAGAATTTCATTACTAAATGAAACATATACTCACTTTTGAATTTTGAGGAATATCAACATCAAGGTCAATAAATAATCAAGAGTGGTGTCCAGTGGACTCATACACTAGGTGGAAGGTTTGATTAAATAATAGCTCTCAATCCCCATGATATAGTAGGGGGATCTAGTTAGTGTGAAGTGTGTCAAGTAATCTGTCGATCATTTGCAAATTTAAAAATTTAAGTAGATATGAAGATACCCCATTAAAATGTTACATTCAGGTACTTGGCAATTTTTGAATGGAAGTGATGAAGCTAACATGCTTAAAATTATACATAGCCCTGGGTGGATGTCATCTGTCATGTTTGTATGAACAAACCAAAGGTGGAGGACCTTTAGGATATATGGCTTTTTGAGGCCTTCCCCATCCTGAAAACTTATTGAATGTTTACTATATTGAGGACACTGTTCATTGTGTTGAGTTGAAATGGATGCCGGGCCTGGTATCACTGGTATTATAGGATGTTTTCACTGATATCTTTACCCTCCCTCTATCAGCTCTTGATCACAACTATTTCTCCCATGTTCAGAGACTGCCTGATGAAAACCAAACATGTCTCCTCGAGTGTTCTGCATCTCCACAAGGCTGAACAGAATGGTCCTTAATCACACTTTATTACTAGGTCCTGGCATGTCAAATACGAGCATTCGTTAGGCTTTGAAGCTGCAGGGAATGTATACAGTAATCGTTTCCCTACTTGATCATATCTGTAGTTCCAAAATTTCATATATTGAGTTTATCTCCAGCAAGGGATATTTTATATTTAAAGAATTAATGCCTTTCTTTTGTGCATATAGTCATGTGTTCACTACAACAGATCCTGGCAAGAGGGTACCCAGTGATGCTAATTTCCTATTTCCTTAATGGGACTTAAAAATACACAGGCACACTGAACAGATGTGACTGAAAACCATACATTGCCAGAACAATTACAATGTGTGTCACAAGGGTTCACTAAGGAATAAAATTTAAATTTACTACAGAAAAAAAATGAGTTTGAAGTTAAGAGGTTATTGATATTCTATTCAGCACACAAATGCATTTGCAAGTGGACAATGGCACCGCCAAGGAATGTAAATCAATCTTTTTCAAAGAGTAAACTGCATCCTCATCCCCCCGTCACCTCCACCCAGAGAATACTACGTTTCAGGGATTTGAGATTCAAGGTATCCTTCCCTTCAAAGGCACTGAGCAAAACTATGGAACAATTGTTGCCTAGAGGAAACAGCTGCTCTCCAAGCAAGCTTCTGTAAGCCTCTTGTTTGCCAAGCCAAGGGTCAAGTTTCTTTTAAAGGAAGGAAACTCAAATGGGCTCAGAGAAGACTGACAAAGTTTTTGCTTTAGAAGGTGTCAGTGTGAATGTTACAAATACCAAAGGAAGAACAAAGCTTCATTAATGATACTTCAAATGGGAAAACGAGATCTTTTTCATGAAAGAAAGTGCCAACCTACCATAAAATATTTAATCAAGATGGAGTTTTTGCTTTGTTTTATAATCAACATCTATTACATTTTTTGAAATGACAGCTTAATTAACATTGACAGAGGTTCCAACTATGATGGGCTAAAATCTAAAATGGCTGTCAGAAATTGTACTTAATAGTTATTCAATAATATTTACTGGATGCCTGTTAAGTGTATGAGAATTTTACTAGGTTCTCTAAAACTTTCAAAGAAAATAGCAGAGACCCCTCCTCCCAAGATTACAATCTAGTGGGAGGGATTAGACATAGATAAATTAAAAATTCAATTACAACATGGTCTTTAAAGAAGAAGATAAGACAACAAACAATACAAGGTGGTTAAGTGAGAGGGACCAAGTGAACGAGAACGCCAATGAGTGTGACAGCAACCGAGAAGAGCAAGAATTTATTACTATTATCAATGCCATTTAGATTAAGCTTAGTAATGACAGGACAAATACTAGATTCTACTTCTACCTATATTGCATGCAAGCTATAGTTTCAATGAAAAGAAAATGTACTTAGTGAAGTTTAATATAAAACTGGCCAGTTGTGAAAACTGAGCTCACAAAGTTTACAGCTTATTTTATTAGAACAATGAAGGTAGAATATTACAAAATAAGCTTGGAAACATTATAAATGGATCGTCACAATCTCTACTACTAAATTCTTACACATAATTCAATTCTATAAATGAATAAACAGTTGTGTCAGTGTGTATTTTGTCTTTTTTAGACAGGTTATAAATTGTGACACAGCCAAATTCCTCAAGGAGAATTCAGATATACAGTCTACCCCTAATTGGTTCTGTTTCATTTCAAATACTGCCCTAGGAAGGGCCAACCTCTGCTTTTTAGGAGAATAATTGGCCGGTCTTTGCCGGACCTGTGCCTAAAGATTTAACAGTGAGGTGGAGGAGTGAACAAATAGCATGTAAAGCTGCCTTTTCAGTCTTTTGCTAATCCACTTACAAAATACACGTAAAAGGAAAATCAAATCTGAAACCCCAGTTTGTTTGGCACTGAACCAGTGCAGTGTTGCCACTGTGTAGTCCTTAAGTAACCAGAGGGATTCCTGTGCATTTTTAAGTGAATACTGCCATGGGGCTTTAAGGCCCTGGCTTCCTTTTGCTCACTCTAATGGCACAAACCACAAGAGACAGTTGTTTTCAGCTTGCCCATTTTGCAATAATTTAAAAAAATGTTTCAGTCACAATGAGCCATGTAAAACTTGTAATTCATACCTCTTTATCAACAAGCAACAAGTCTGGCTTAAGACGACTTAAGAATTTTCTCATCCCCCTCCCACCTCCACCCCTAGCTCCCTGGAGTTCTCCTGACAGATGTTCCAAGATGTTGCATCATGAAAGCACAATCTGGAGTTCGCTATTTTAATACTGCAAAAAAAACCCAAAAAACTGATGTTTTTGTTTTCTATTTTAGTTGCACTTCTACCAGTCATGTCTGCAGAACCATTTCTAAAGAGATGTTAAGGCCAAAGTGGTTTAGAAAATAGGTTCTAGTGGGAAAAGAGAAGAAAATAGGTATTTAAAAGTTGTTGTTAGGTGCTGTCGAGTTGATTCTGACTCATAGCGACCCTATCTACAACAGAACAAAACACTACCCAATCCTGCACCATCCTCACAATCCTTGCTATGCTTGAGCCCATCGTTGCTGCCACTGCGTCA